TTCTGTACTTGATGTTGAATGATTAAACTTTTCAGAACTTTTTATCAGACTTTTATCAGTTTTTAAATCCTAACGGTTTTCAGAAGTTATGTTTTCACGGTAACCCCCGAATCAGTTTCGCAAATTAAAAAGTTAGTTTATTTATTTATTTATTCAGAAAATTTGCGAAAAATCGCGTACTCTGATGTATTAGTCAGACGGGGCGTTACAGTACTCGTCAAAGTCCAGTGGGTGTAGTCAAGTGGAGGGTGAGACGACTTGGCAGAGGGAGGCCGAGATTGAGAGAGAGTACTTGAACCTCACCTTTTTATGTCCCCTTTTGTTACTCTCTTGCCTTCCTAGTTGTATTGTTTTCGAATTCCCAGGACGGAATTCTTTGTAAGGTGGGTAGACTGTAATGCCCCGTTTATTTATGGATATTTTTTGTTATTATTATTGTAATGCCCCATTTATTATTATTATTATTATACCACAAATACTCGAACTGTTGGACCGCTCCTCTCGAACCGGGTTGCGTCTCCTTGATCATCAGTACCTGCAAAGCACATCGGGGGTGGTCCCGACGTGAACACTCAGACGCTCAAGTCAGTGATGGTCTAGAGAGAAAACGGCAGAATAACGAGATAACTCGTGCATGTGTGTTGTGTAAAAATGAATGAACCTGCTCCTTTTAATAGGAGAAACTTGGAGGGTCCTCCTGAGACAAGAAGTCTTCTCTATGTTTACCTCTATTGTCTCTAGAGTCCTTATTACTGTCAACTTCCTCGTAACTTGATCTCAACGCCAAAATCAAGTTCCATCCCCTTTGATGGCGCCCTCGGGCCAGGCTGCCTAAATGCCAAGTACTCTCTAACACCGAACACCCGGGGTCGCGCACTTAGGAGTGCTTCGCACCTAGGGGTGCCGCGCACTTGAGGTTGCCGCACACGTGAGGGTGGCGCGCACTTGAGGATGCCGCGCACTTGGGGGTGGCGCGCACTTGAGTGTGGCGCGCACTTGAGGGTGGCGCGCACTTTAGGGTGTCGTGCACTTGAGGGTGCCGCGCACCGCACTTGGGGGTGCGCACTTGGGGGTGCCGCGCACTTAAGGGTACCGCGCACCGCACTTGGGGGTGCCGCGCACTTGAGGGTGCCGCGCACTTGGGGGTGCCGCGCACTTGAGAGTGCCATGCACTTGCGAGTGCCGCGCACTTGGGGGTGCCGTGCACTTGGGGGTGCCATGCACTTAGGGGTGCTGCACACTTGGGGGTGCCATGCACTTGGAGGTGCCGTGCACTTGGGCGCTAAGTGCTCTCCATACAAGTGCGACGTCCGAACCGCGACCGGTGGTCCTTCATGAATCACTACTAACGACCACATCATCTAGCCCCCCCATTCCTTAGATAAGTCGAGCTTGTCGTAAAGAATGGAGGATTATACGAATCATAATAACCCTTGTACTTACCTTACCTAAACATTCTTGTCACCACTTCGTCTTGCGCGCAAAACACCGCGTGCCTCACCCAACAATTGGAACCAATGTGAGAATGATGTGGGGATTCCGAATACCGAGATGTGACGACCACCAAGACGTGCACCATGTGCCGACC